TGATAGACGTCAAAGCCGACGCTCCAGAATTTCAAAAACTTGGATTGTTGTCCCGAAACTCGAAAGACGAAAGACGTTCCAAGCAAGTCTATTATTACTCGAGCGGATGTCTCACTGCTCGATGTAAGTGGTGTATTTTAGGCAGGGTTTAATGCAAGAAAAGGGAACACTTAGCTGAAGGCTCTTTAACGCATCCATGCACATTTAGAGGTGGAGTGTACTGATGGTATTGGTATTGTTCTGCAGTGCGAGTCGAAGTCATTTGATTGAGATTAGTAGAGTTGAAAATTTCAGAATTTAAAAAAAACATTTTGTGGGCGTCTCCCCCACTCCTGCCCCCAGGCTCACTGGCTGACTCGTAACATTATATTATAGAAACAACCTACGACATCAACAAACCAATCAAACTTGATCTGTCAGTTCCTTCATTCTTCACTGCTCTCTGGAAGAGCCTTTTGTGGCCTTAAAGTGTGGGTTAAACGGTTTCAAAAAGATGGAGAAGAATGCAAAAATCCAACTGACTTCAATAATTATTAGATCTAGAATCTAGATCTAGATCTAGACTCTAGATCTATATCTAGATCTAGAACCTAAGTCTAGATCTAGAATTCTAGAATCTAAATCTAGGCCTAATCCTTCAATTATTGAAACATGGATTCTTGGAAAACTAAATTTGATTAGATCTATTCATCTGACTTCAACAAGAAAGTGGCTATTCTCACCCGCCCGGAAGTTCTCGCAAGATCAACTCCTCCCCTCTTCTTTCTCTCTCTGTCTCTTTCTGAATACTGTCTATCGGTGTGGACGATCAAATTGACCAAAACAATGTTAAAAAATGATGTTAAAACACAAAAGTAAATTAATTTGGTTGTCTACAAAGATGCTACGGCTATTTAACTTTTCGAATCGAGCCGAACTACGCGGGTCGCCATTTTGTTTTGCCCGGAAATTCTCGCGCTACTCCTCTCTCTCTTTCTCTCTCTCTCTCCACTGCCCACAGACAAAATTGTACGCTTTTAGTAGGCTACAGTTGAAATGGAACGTTTGTTCACGGCACAGAAATCTACAATTTTTCCTCACAGTGTAGAATTCTGTGGTTTAGGGTGAACGCAAAATTTGGTGAACGCGCACCGGGTGAGAATAGCCACAAGACTCGCCTGCACTATTCTCACTCCGGGTGAGAATAGAGGTGGCCCTTCAACAAACCCTCTCAAAGTAGTCTAAAAAAGTAAATAATTAGTCTCTGTAGTTAGATCTAGAAATCTAGATTCTAGATCTAGTCTACGCATTCGGTCACAGCGCCATGAACGTAGTTGGCAGGCTACGTTCACGGCGCCCTGAATGCAGTTTGCAGGCGCTGTTGAGGCTACGTTCACGACACTAAAACTTCATTTAGGGGGAGGGTCCACTGGCGGTTTTAGTCAGTGACGTCAGTGTATAACATTTTGAATGTAGCCTGCCAACAAAAGCATGGCAGGCATAAGTTTTAAAAGACATTCTGTTCAGAAAATCTAGCCATGCTTTAAGTTTATATTCTCTATAAATAGGCAAGCAACTTCATTCTAAGGCCTACTGAAATCAATAGATTGTAGATTCTGACATCCAGCAATCCAGCCCAAGCCTTTCGACATTATAGAGATAGAATCTAGATTAGATACAGAGCCCTTGTTGGGCAACAGGAAACAGTTTTTACTTTTTAAAATTTATTGCACTGAAAAATCTGTCCTCTGAATCAGCCATGTAATTTACTCTAGGCTTAAAGGCCTAGATCTACATGTTATGTGACCGAAATCAAAGTTAGTTTGTTTTTTAATTTTTTTTATATATTTAGCTCACTTTCAAGTTATAATGTAAAATATAAGGGTTTCCGAACTATTCATCCTGCGCTCTTGTCCTCTTTGGAAGTGTTCAGATAACTTACTTGGGCTAGAAGATCCTGGCTTTGAAAAGAGGACAGAGCCAACTTGATTAGAGTTTATGTGAGGCTAAACATTCTTTTATGTTTGAGACATGTTTGTTCTCTATGGTCATTGTCTATGCTGCAGGAACATGTGCATGGGGACACATTTGCACTGTTGGGTCTTTTGTTTTACTTAGAAATGTGTTGCCTTTTAAAACATAACATAACATGCCTGTTATCTAGAGGTGTAAATTGTTTGCATCGTAAATTTACTTTTGTTTTATCACTTTATTGTATTGTACTGACAATTGCTCCATAAGTGCAGTGATATTGAAGAGACATACGTGTTCCTTATGGACAATGCATTTTTTGTTTTTTAAAAGTAACAGAAATAATATGGTCGCTTTTAAGGAAGAGCGGGCTAACCCAGATTTCGGGAGTTTCCTGAAATCTTGACCTACACCAAAAGTGGGCATTGCCTTGCCTATAGGAGAAGTTTATTTTCATTGGTATATTTGTTTGATTATAGAGAAAACTATCCTTGTCTTTTAAAGAAACTGAACAAGGGTCCAAAATCTTTACTTTCGATTTTCTCAAAACAGCATTTTTCAGGATAGCCTCCTTGTGCTTAAAAGTGACCATATGATTGGGGCTATGTAGGTCAGAGGCATTTTATTATAACATTGCTTTTCATTTTGTTGTCTGTAGGGCCAGGCAAATTCTGGATGTTTAAGTCAGCAGGTCGAAGGTACCACAGGTCAGCACTGGGAGACACTGATAGACATATAAGAACACAATGTCGTTTAGGTCATTACAAAACCAGGACGATGAAGTGATCTCTGTTGAAGAAGAGAGACAGGTCTCTGACCGTGCTAACCTTGATCAAGGCTCGAAGGGCTTGAGAAGACGAAGTGTGGGGCGGAAAAGAAGCATTCAGCCAGACGGAGTTCAGAATTCACTTCTCAACACTGCTATTCCAGAAGATGATGCTGTCTTTGCTGTACAAGATGATCAAGAGTTTTCTGTCTTTGAGAAGGTAACATTTATAGCACTGTAATTATGTTCACACTATGCTAGTGTATAAATGTGATTCTGCAGACTGTCTTGCTCACACTTCAGAAAAGTCAAAATATCATTGTCGCCCTCACATTGTTGATATTACAGGAGGTAAATGAAGTATTTCATGACAAAACATTTTTATCCCAACACCATTTTTTTGTTGTTGCTTGCGGATGTTGCAGTGTTCAACTCTTGGGTATGTAGAGTAATGTTGATAAAGACTGGGCAGTGCTCACACAACATCAGGTAAATGTAACCTTGATAAAATAGCAATGTTCACCCCTGAGGAAGGTAGATGTATTGCTACTGAAGTTGTTTTGTACGCACTGCCAGGAATGAATGTAAGGATGATGACATGGCGATGTTTGGACTGTGTGAGGAAAATGTAATTTTTAATGATGTCACAATAATCCCACCACATGGAAATAAATGATACTGCAATATTCTTCCTGCACAAAATAAAAACGATATATAGTATTATATGCCATTATTCATATTACACATGGGGGAGTGAGTAAACTTGATGATATTGCCATGTTTTACCAGAAAAGGTAACTATTACTTTCATGCCACTATGATAGTATTTCCTTACTACTTCTTAACTAACCTTTTGTTGTTTCTTTTAGTTATATTTCTTCCTCTTTCCACATACTAGATACAGTGGAGTCCACTTATAACGAGTCCGCAAAAAACGAGAAGTCTGTTATAATGACACTGTTCTAAAACCCCGTTTTTTTCCTCCTCTTTACCTTTGTAAATAAAATACTGCTATAGCGCTATCAGACAAACATGCGAGTCGGTTATAGCGGAATATTGCTGCTGCTGTGCACAGTGCATAGGCCAATTATACATAATGTAAAACCTCGCCAGTTGAGAAACTTGTTGGTGATCTAGCGAAACAAAGAATAGGAGAGCCCATGTGCATCAACAATGAAGGCCGGAGCGACTGAGTAGGGAGGGTGTGGCATGCGCAGACAAGCAGAACGCATCGCGTAATAAGCCAGCGTAAGCCTTGTTTAGATTATTGAGGCCTGCCATGCCTCTCACTTCTCCGATGCGGGGATGGAGAGGTCACAGCAATGTGATGGATGGAGCGAATGTGTGACGTGCGCTAGGAGACGGAATGCACCACAGGGTGGGATGGGGTGGGGTGGGGGGAAACACAGAGAGCGAGTTAACCCAGAGCCCTTTCTTTCTGATTTCTGATCGCCAAAGCCGAGCTGCCTGTCCACATCGCTAGATCTAGCGCTAGAGAAATAAACCTGATTCGAATTTTGATCAAGTAAGACCTAGAGGTCATGTTGAAACAAAATCATCATCAGGGGAGATAGCTAAAGGAAATAAACAGAACACCAAACTCATAGATTAGGCCTACTTTACAGTTTTCCTTGAATTTATTACTGGATCCCTTATAGCGAGAATCCTGCTATAACGGACATTTTGCTCCGGTCCCCACCCTCTCGTTATGACAGGATTCTACTGTAGTAACATCATCCTCTACCACATTATACAAACATCTATGTCTTCCTGTACCACTGCTCTTCTTTTCTGTCGCAATTTACATATGCACACACCCATGCTGGTCTTTTTTTGTTTGTTGTCTTTTTACTATTGAACCTGCGCTGTTCAGCATTTCAATCATCTGTCTTGATCACTTCTGACAGGGGCGAGACTATGAGCCAGTGTACATCACCCATCGCTATACGGAGCAAGAGAAAGAAACTCTGACAAACTATGAGAGCTGTGACTACTTGCCCAACCACAGCCATGTGTACAAACACTGGATCAAGCGACAGATGATCTCAAAGTCAGTCAATAGTGTGTTTATATATATATAGGACCCTTACACGAACATACTGTATTAACAATATGCTGTGTTTACAAATGGCCCTTTCACTATCAAGATGTGTTAATAAACAGCCAAGTTTTTTTTTATGTTGAGTTTTTGCTGGGGGGGGGGGGGGGGGGGGGGGGGCTAAGTATCTAATTTTGAGCTTTGATGCGAAAACAAAGGTACTTACTTTGAAACTTCTTTATGACAAATGGTTCTTATTTTTAAACTTTATAAAAAACAGGGAATGGTTCTTCTTTCAGATCTTGATAACATACCGAAATGGTCTTATTCATTAACTTGAGAACATAGCGAAAGGTTGTTGTCTTGGACAGGTATATGGGGCTGCTGGTTGATAAAAATATTGGAGTGGTAGCCACATTGGACCGTTTGTCACCTTGAGCAGTATCATTATATAGATAAAACGCAAGGGGGGGGGGGGGGGAAGCGATTGTTTGTACAGGTGGTTGTCTTGGACAAGCAGCCTTCAGGTCAGGTTCTATTGTATATCTTTATAATGATATTGGTAACCTGCATGTAAAATCTATGTTGTAACAAGAACTTAAGCATGTTACTCATATATTCAACAATTCAGCTTGGAGACTGATGTGAATACTCAAAGAGAAGCCTACTTTGGCATGGATGGAAAGGTTGACATTTTAATATTCCCACGAAAATTTCTATTGGAGTTATTGTTTTTTGTTTGATTGTTTGTTTATTGGTTTTGTTTTTTCTTTGGGGAATTTTTCTGATTGCAGTAATCATAATTATTTTTTAGTAGTTTAAACGTCATTATCATGCTTTGGTCTATTTAGGGATCAGATGCTCCAGCTCAAGAGGAAAGTTGACTCTGAAGTTTTCTCTGAAATTTTCTTTCAGGATGGCAATCTGGCAGAGGGATTCTTCTTTTGTGCAGGCTACAGCATTTTGTTTGCTGTATTTGCAGCTGCCGTTATTGTGGTAAGAAGTTGTTGTGGTTGTTATCTGGAATTATTGTTGCCCTTATGATGTGATGCTATTGTCATTATCTTGGTGATATGTTGTTGTTATGGTGATTTGCGGTTATTGTGGTTTGTGTGGTTGGTGGGTACTCTGGTGTGATTTTCTCCTTCTTTCATATCAAACGTTTATCGTCCTTATCTCTCCTCCTTCTTTTTTGTGTATGTTGCTACTCCCTTGTAACACATCTATTCTTTGGCACCTATATGACCATATTGTGTTGCAAGTGCCGTAAAACGCTTACGAAAGCTAAAAAAACGGTTATTGTGGTGACATGTCATTATTCTGGTGGAAAGGTGTTGTCATTGTTATCATGAGATGTTGATGGTGACACTGTGCACTCTGTTGTAACATTCCCAATCATAAACAATGCGTGGGTGGTTGGCGGGTGCTCTAGTGTAGTTTGTTTCTTTTTTCCTATCAGACATCTATCGTCTTTATCTCTCCTTCTTTTTTGCTTTTTTACTCTCTTGTAACACCTCTAATCTTCGGCACTCATATGACCTTATTGTGTTTCAAGTGCCGTAAAACTCTTACTGAGACCTAAACAATGTTCTATCCATATATATCTGTTTTGGTGTTACACAGTTCTAGTAACAGTTTATTACATGCTCAATTTGTCGTAGAACTGTTTTGGTTGTAGGTCATGAATGTGGGTCATGAACAGCTGCCATGTACTGTTGCTCTAACAGATCTGGCAACCTAGTGCCGGGGGTTCGGGTCTGCCAGAGATCACCGGGTTCCTCAACGGTACGCAGGTACAGCGCATCTTCAGCTTGAAGACTCTGGTGGCCAAGTTTCTCTCATGTGTGGCAGCCATTGGATGTGGGATGCCCATCGGACCAGAGGGTCCCATGATCCATCTTGGGTAATTTCTGTAGTTGTTATCGATCCAGAATTTCTGGAGTTAAACAGACGTACAGGCAGGAAGGCATGCAGGCAGGCAGACTGGCATACAGACAGGCAGCCTGATAGACAGACAGACAGATAGACAGACAGACTGGCTAGTACTGAAACATGGTTGTGTATGAAAAATTAGTTTCAAGAAAACATGTGAAATCAAAATTTAAAGAATGCAGTTTTGTAATGTGTGCCAAATTTTCAGTTTCAATTTCAAATTTGTTGTTATCTAGCACTTTAAATAACAGAATTATTTTTATTGTTTTTTGTCATATGGATTCGAGTCAAATGTTTTAATACTGAAACTTGAAAAATCTAAAAACCACAATATAGTAGTCTGTGATATTCAATGAAAAGAATTAAGCCTTCATTGCACATGTGTATTCACCACAGTTAGCGTTGTTGTTTTCGTCATCACCAGCTGGGTGGGTTTCATCAGGGGGCCTCCGTCAGCATGAACCTGTTCCTTTGCATAGAGATCTAAAAGATCCTTATGTTTTGATTCTTTTAATTTCTTGGAACTATCATGTGTTTAAAAGTGGGGACATTCTCTCATGGTTCAGCATTGTACTCAGTGTAGTAGCATTAAACTTCCACAGGAGGATGGGTGCTTGTAAAAGTTGTATTTTGTCTTGTATTTGTGACTCTTCGTTTAAATGAGAAAACTAATTTATATAAATGAAGGTTGGCTTGTTACCCATAACAATTTCTTAAGGTGGCCTTACTCAGGTTTCATTGCAGATTCCATGAATTTAAAAATGTCCTCTCCATGAATGAAATGAGCAATGAATGAAGAGAACTTCACTTTCTTCAATTATTGTAATATAGTCTGTGGGAGTCATAGCTTTTACTTCTCATAACTTTGATATATCCAAAATATCTTTCATCTAGTTAGAATATATATCCTTGATTGAGGAGTGTATAGTCAATTCTTTGGTAGTTGTCTTTTACAAGTGATTGAAGTAAAGCTACCATGTTTGTGTTTTATTTTGTTCTGGTCATTCAGTCTTTGAACAAGATCAGATGGCTTCCTTCACCAGTCTTTCAGATGGCTTCCTTCACCAGTCTTTCAGATGGCTTCCTTCACCAGTCTTTCAGATGGCTTCCTTCACCAGTCTTTCAGATGGCTTCCTTCACCAGTCTTTCAGAAGCTCTTTCTTGAGAAATTTGATGAAAACAGATTCTGTTGGAAGTCAAATGTAAATTATGGGGGTGGGTGGTTGACAGGTGCTCTGGTGTGGTTTGCTCCTTTTTTCTATCAAACTCCTTCTATTTTGTATTTGTTATTGTCTCTAATCTTCGGCACTTATATAACCTTATTGTGTTGCAAGTGCCGTAAAACTCTTACTGAAACTAAAAAAATGTAAATTCAAGTTTTGAGCTTTAGTTTTTCTAGTCCAGAAATTGGGAGGCACTCTGCTTTGGAATATTAATTTCTACTATGTCTATTCCTTGCCTTGTCAAATGAAGCACTATAGTACTGGCATGCGTCTGTTTTGTTACGGTAGGACTCTTGACTGTATATGTAGACAATGAGTTTGATTCCCATGTGAGAATATGTTTATCAGGTTGCTCCGTTTTTCTGTCATGCATCCCTCACAGCCCAGGTTAACTCTTTATCTCCAGCAAGCTTGCGGTCGGAACCACTGTGCCGGTGAGCCGCTGACAGCGGCTCAGGCACATTCCTTTACGACAACTTCGACATCATATTACTTTTCGGCAATTGCCGAAAACAGATCTCTTATACCGGAAGTGCATTCATTAGATGAAAAACTATCAAAGTAGGTTTGCTGGTTTCAATTTTTGACCTATTTAGTGATGTTTTTGTCACTTTTAGATTAAGCACCATAAAAGAGCCCCGGCGTAATGGGTTTACCCCCCTCGGAGATAAAGAGTTGACCTAGGCAGTGTTCAAATAGACAGCTTCTGAAATGATATACAGTGTGAGGATACAAAAACTATTACAGCTACCATATGATACATCACATCCTTTTCCTATCTCAGGAAACCATCAGGTAGGACATTCTATCCCTGTTCTTTCAAGAAACACCACTGTATAGGGCATTCTTTTTGTTATCCTATTCTAGAACGCCTACATGAAGAACATCATATTATTTTGATCTTTTCCCAGAACATAAAACATGAAGGATATCTGATTCTTGTCCTCCTATCTCAGAATGCCACCACGTAGGACTCACCTGTGTGTTTCTCTTTCCTCAGGGCTATTATTGGTGCAGGTTTTAGCCAGGCTTCCTCGGAGTCTTTGAAATTTAGTCTGCCTTTTTTTGAGAGATTTCGCAATCCTGAGGATCGGTAAGTCCCTTGTTTGTCATTTATTGTGTGTCCATTCGTACCGAATTTTTCACAGTGGCAATTTAAGGAATTGATGTGTTTACACCATTGCAAGGAAAGATCATATAAACATGCGAGTGGAGCTGGTCTACTTCCATTTACAGGAGATTTATTTGACATTGTAATCTGATTTTAGAAAAATGACTTTTTTTGTTTCTAGTTATGATGTGTAGGCAAATGACATTCTTGTGTTACTTTGTGTAAACAAGCTGCATTCTCTGTTTACCTCATTTTGGTAAGTGCCATACTCCATTTACTGTTTGTAAACAAGTGATATTTTTCCGTTTACTTAATCACCGACAACCACTATTCAGCTGTTACAAAGCTGCACTGTATCTATTCTCCACAGGAGAAACTTCATATCTGCGGGTGTTGCGGCGGGTGTGTCTGCAGCCTTCGGGGCTCCAGTGGGTGGCCTGCTGTTCTGTATGGAGGAAGTCTCCTCTTTCTGGAGCAACACCCTCTCCTGGCAGATCTTTTTCTGCTGCATCATCTCCACCTCTACTTCAGACATCTTCAACTCGGCTTTTGAGAAGTTTCAAAATATCGGCACATTTGGAGCTTTTCAAACCAGTCGATACATTCTTTTCAATGCAAGTAACTTTTTTTAAAAACACATTACACCCTAAGGGCCTGGACGGGAAGTCCATTGTTAGATCCTAAGCAAGGGGAAGGAACCCACCTCCCGTGAATACAAGCGTTTAAAAAACACTTTTTAAAAAATACTAGACAAATTCCAAAAATCCAAAAAAGATAAAAGTTAAAAAGAAAACTGAATGTAGTTTCAAAAAAATATAACTTTATGTATGCGCAAACTGTTGGAAAGGTTCTAACTTTTGTTCAGTCAGGGTGTCCAACTCGTCACTCTCACACTCAGCCTCGCGGTCGGGCCCTAGATCTAACTTCTAGGTTTTCTCCGTCTGATCAATCTGAATCGCCCCAAACTCTTGCTACGTTTTCATAAAAAACTGAGCTTGTTTTTGCTCAAATCCATCGTTACTTCCGTTTTCCAACTCAATTGTACTGCTTTTCAACAAGTCGAGACACTTTCGAAGTGTCGGTAGCGCGATCGCACTTCGATCAGCTCTAATACTAAAACTACTGGCCCGAAAAATTTCATTTCGGTATCAAACGAAAGAAGAAACTTTTTGCAATAACTATGCAAATCAAAATCTCGGCCCCCAGAGTCTCGTTAAGGCGATACTTCATTTCTAAAGACGCTAGGTCAGCGCTGGCGGTTCCGGGTGAGTCAGGGTGGAGCGCATAAGGGGATTCTCGGGCAAGTTAGGGTGTAATGTGTTAAATCAAAATGAGCAACAGCACACTACAGTTTCTAAATTTTAATGTCTAAAAGAATGCGCTCAAACACTAACAAACTGACTGTCTATAGCTTGGTACCCAGAGCCAACTGGGTGAAGTGAGGAAAATTCGTGTTAAGTGCTCTTCCCAAGGACACAATGTCAGGGCCCTCACGGGGTTTGAACTCATGACCTTATGGCAAGTCTGAGATTAACAACACATAGTGAAAGTCCCATGAAAGTATCTTATAGAACAGACAATAACAGTTGCAGAGAATTTCAAGAAGAGCATCCAGTAGCAGTCATATGAAGTTACCATATAGGTTTAACACACTGTGACAATTACATGAAGTTGACTGAGAGAACACTGACGGACCGTTATATGAAATTATGTATGTAGGTGTTTGGATGTGTATATGTATACGTTTATATATGTATATATATGCGTGTATGTGTGTATGTGGGTTTTTTGTATGTCCACTTTAGTGTCTGTATATCTTTGGGTTCGTATGTGCATATGTATGTTTACCTACATATGTGTGGTATGTATAGTGCATATATATTTGTAATATATATATAATATATACATATGTGTGTATTTCACATTTCTGTGTGTATGTGTGTGTGTGTTTCTTTGTGCCTATATGTGTGATCTCAATTCAATTTGTTCATTCATGACTTGAGAAGAATATTGCTGTTACCTTGACATTATTGTGACCTTGATGCCCTTTTGTCATTGTCCTTGGCTTTGAGCATGGCTTTAAATGTGACTTCAACCCAGAACCTGGATCATAAATTCTCCTTTGACTTCTATATTCAGTGATCATCATGTCACAGATTGAGGTGAAGAGAGAAGTACTCTTGGCCTTTAGTCATAATTTTAGTTCAGACCAAAAGATTGACTCGCATCTCGGTGGAGCAGTTAGGCTCTTCTTTGTCTCACACAGAAGACATGAGTTTGATTCCCATATGAGGACATTGTTTATTGAGTATCTCCTCCTGCCAGCTGGGATTCTGTCTACAACTCTTTTAGTTTAGGAAGACTTTTACAGCGCTTGCAACACAACAAAGTAATGTAAGTGCCAAAGATTATAGGTGTTACAAGTGAGTAACAAACACAAAAAAGAAAAAGGAGAGACCAGGACGGTTGATGCATGTGGGAAAGAAGGAGCAAACCATGCCAGAGCACCCATCAACCACTCACCTGAAGGTATCCAACTTAGCTCGCATTGGCCTTTACAGGCTGGGTCCTAGCAACCTGCCCCCGGGGCAGTGCCACTGACTGTAGTGTCTTTAGGCCTTTCCCAAAGGGGGGACATTTCTCATTCAAGCACTGTAGAATTGTAAATGGGCTGATTCATCATGTCACGCTCATAACTGTGCCTGATCTGCAACAGGGAACTGCTGCTTTTTCTGTCCTATTCCTTACTATTGTCATTTTCCTCTACTTCTTTTGTATGTTTATCACTCTTGTGACCCGCTATTTCCGCGGTGCCTTGATAGTCGAAGCAGACCTTGTGCTGTTGAAGCTAGAGAGGTGAGCAGAGTAAGTCCGATTCCCTGTAAGGACTTCTCTGTTGACATCCGCCCCTTGGCGCTCATATGACCTTATGCAGTTGCGAGCGCCGTAAAACCTCTACTAAAAAAAAAAATGATCTAAATTGTGTCAGTTGGGGCATTAACTCATCCAATTACAATTATTTCGAAAGATTGTGTTTTGTTACGTCATTGGGCTGAAATTAATGTTGTTGTTTTTTACCTCTGAAACGACAGATTGATGAAGGAGTGGACATCAACATTCTCATGTTCCTCCCATCAGTTCTGATTGGAATTATTGGAGGTGTCTTGGGATCGCTCTTCACAATCATCAACTTGAAGATTCACAGATTCCGCAAGCGCAAGCTGGCAGCCATTACCAGGTCTTGGCTGGTCAAGGTCATCCGTTTAGCGGAGCCAGCGTTGGTTATGGTGAGTCCAGACAATGTTTTACAGCCAGCTAAAGTTGAAGTCCATTTTTTTTTCATTCTGGCTAAAAGTTAAAGTGTGCAAGTTTTTTTTTTTCAAAAGTAAATTCATGAAAGTCAACAATGACTGAAAGTTTCATTCTCTAATCATGGGAGTTAAAGGACCATCAATATATTTATATCATCTTGCTGGTAACTCATACTTTTTATTACCTGGATAGCTTTCAATCTCTAGAGGAACTTGTGAATTTTGGGGAGAGTGACTTGCAAACTTCTATGAATTTTCTTCCAGAAAAGCTTTTACATCTCTGTTCTTTTAGTATTGGGTTGGTTTCTCCTTTTTCTGCACTTACTTTGTCTTCTCTATGTAGCTGTCCAGTGAAATCAGTGAAAATGTGTCTTTTATTAGTAAGCTCTGGTAGTTTTATTTCTAAAAATAGACTTACCATATCTGATATAGTTTGAGATTCAAAATCAATTTTCTTTACTTTTAGATGTAGGTGAGAGCATCTCGTCACATGAGATGACACCTTTTTCTCATGAACTAATTTTTTTTGGGTGCTTCTGGGCTAACCTGCATATGTATTAGGCTCGGTCATGTTTTGTGTTCAGGGGTATTTTGCCTAGAGAGTATTTTGCGTTTCAAAATAAATTCTATTTTGATTAATTATACTCTGAAAAGGCCCCTATCAGTTCAATAAAATCCTGAAGTATCTGAAGAAAAGACAGTTAAATCCACTGTAATATGTGTCTCTTTTTTTTCTCTCTCTCTCCAGTTGTTCATGACTTCCTTCTCAGTGTTTTTGCCAATGGCGTTTTCATGTGTGCCATTCCAGTGCATGAAAGGCAACTCAGGGGTACTTAGGTGAGTTATTCATGATTGTTGTTAGGACATCATTTGGTGAGTCATTCATAATGATAGTTAACCCTTATCATCCAGAATGAAATTCATGGATTTTCCTAAGCAGCCAGAACTAAATCTGTGCTGTCATTCAGAATTCATGTAAGTTTTTGTATCGCCTTCTGTTTTGGGTCAAGATCTGTCTCATTCACTGTGCCAAAAAATTAATCGTCTGCAACGTCAGGGAAGGAGATAATGAGATCGAATGCAGAAAAAGCAGTTGTATTGTGAAGGGATTTGGTTAATAATCTTGATTTGAAAAATGATGCAGTTCTAGATCCTATGTTTTCATTGATACAACATGCTGCCGCTTGAAAAGTAGGCCTTCAAGCTTCTAATTCTCTCAAAGAAAGTAAGTATAATCATGTATTTTTTTAACTTGACCCATATTATAAACATGGATTTGGATGACAGGACATAAATGTGTATTTAATTAGGAAAGCAGGTGAAAAAGACACACTCTGTGCCATTTTGGGAAAAGGGGTAAACAGAAAGGACACAAAGTGTGACGTTCTGGCTGATAGGAGGTAAGGCATTGTGAGGTGACACTTCCATGACTTCACTAGACGAGTTTTTCTTTATTTGCTACCGTAGAATTACTAAGTTCTATCTGCTCAGTATCTTGTTCTTAGACATTTGACCTTAAAAAAAATTGAGTTTCACAACATGTTTTACAAATGCAGGTCTTTGAATATCTTGATAACGACTCCCAATAATCATATGATTTTGATAGAGCAGATGGAACATTTGGTTTCTGACCTCATTGTCTTGGTGACTGAAGATATCCAAAAATGTCAGATAGGACTTTGTAATTCAACGTTGGGTGAGAGACTCATGACCAGATCACGTGTAAGTTTCGTTGTTTTTTTTAATGTTATGAAAACACATTTCATTATCAGTGTACTGGGTTGTTTGTTTGATTGCATGTATTGGATGTTTGTTGATTTGATATGTGTATTGAGTGTTTGTCTTATTTTGTGATTTGGACGTCTGATTGTTTGTATGTATCGAGTGTGTGTGTGTATGTGTGTGTGTGTGTGTGTGTGTGTGTGTGTGTGTGTGTGTGTGTGTGTGTGTGTGTGTGATTATGTGTATTGGGTGTTAATGTGGTGTTTAAGTGCATGTATTTGTTTGTTTGTTTGTGTCACAAGTGACAATTGCGCCAACGACACCACCAACAAGTATGACTCTCACTACAACCAAGAGAACATTTTCCCGACGTGCGAAGAGGGCGCCACCCACCTCAACGGTACCACTCTGCTGACTAACGGCACATACAACGAGTGTGAGTACTGCTCTCTATCTGGCTCTGTCTCTTTATCTCTCCATCTGTCTATCTTTTTATACCTGTATCTCTCTATCTCTCTATCTGTCAATTTGTCTGTCTCTCAGTGTCCCATCTCAGTGACTTCATCGTGCAGACAAAAGAAATGGCACATATGATTTTATAGTATTATGAGTTTAAATATTTTAAAGTAGTTTTTTTTGCAACATGTACTTCACCAAAGGTTAAAAGTGTATGGCTGCCAAAGTTTGGTCACTTCAACTTCAATAGCTTGAGAGTCCTTGAAAACTTAAAAATGACGTATTTTTTGCCTATAATCAATGTTTTTTCAGCGACATTCACATGGAAATGTGTTTTTCTATGAACTTAAAAGGTGTTGAGCCTAAAAACAAAATTTCGATAAAAATTGCCGAACTGTTTCTTCAATTTCATTGTTTTGGCAAGCCCCTGATTTCACCACGCTGCCTCACATATTTAGATAGATGATTTTAAATATATATGAATAATTATA